TTGTTTGCACGGTCGAAAAAATCCCACCTAAAAAAGTTCATCCGCATTCAGCGAACTGTATTAAATACTTACGCTCGGCAATTTACACAGATTCCGCATCAGGTTGGATGAGGGTCGGAATCCGTTGTGTCGAACAATAGACCCACTGTACATTCGAGTTGGTGTTGTTAAACGAACAGGTTTTACTAGAACTGCTACCAGTATTTGTAATTCTCGCCATCCCGTGCGTCGCACGAGAAGTTGCTGTGTCTCTCTGTACCCACCGGCGGCAAATGTAATTTGAATTAAATTCAATTCAACTTCTAAGTAGTATGTTGCGAACTATTCAAACTTCTATGGACAAAGTAACCTTTCGACTCTATCAATCTACGTATTCGTTGGTCTGTATTGTTCAGTTGTCTTGATATATGTTGAAGCTAGTCAGGAGATGCTAATTTTGTTTCATCAGCATTGAGATATTCAATTAAAATGTACAGGGTGCGTCAGAGAGGATGGACGGTTTTAAAAAATCATAAAATAGTTAATTTTTACTCGAAAACAAATTTATTGATAGAATCAGGTTCACAAGGAAATAGCATTTGAGACAGTCACGTGTGGAAAATCAAATCAGACATGTGGTGGCCGAAATCGTTGATGCAGTGCTGGAGGCGTTCTTGGAAGTTCGCGTAGACTCTCTCAACTTGGGCGACTTCCACGCGAATTTCGCCCTTCAATTCGTCCAGAGTTCGGGGCTTGTTCGCGTATACTCTAGCCTTGAGGTGTCCGCATAAGAAAAAATCGCATATGGATGAATCTGGGGACCGAGGAGGCCAATGAACGTCACCAAACCTGGAAATAGGGCGACCAGGGAAGATAGGGCGAATAACGTCCATGGATGCTCGGGCTGTGTGGGCGGTCGCCCCATCCTGCTGGAAACACACACGTCGGATTGGAACACGTCGCCGTCGTAATTCAGGGAGAAAGAAGTTGGTAACATCACGACCATTACCGTCTTCGAAGAAGTAAGGGTCAATGATGCAAGTTTGCGATATAGCGCCCCAATCCGTTACTTTTGGGCTGTGCAACGGTCTTTCGTGTAACTGTTGCGGATTTTCATTAGCCCAATAACGACAATTCTGCTGGTTAACCATGCTGTTTAGATGAAAGAGGGCTTCGTCACTCATAGGCGAAAATGCGGTGCTCCACGACAACTGGTAAAATAATGCTAGGATCTCACGAGTCAAACGGCACCCTCCCCACCTCTCTCGTAGACGGAAGCGGAGAGTACAACCCTTCCTAAAAAACGTCTCTCCTCTCTGCCGCACCCTGTATAATTCACCTCTATATGGCGATTTTTCATATCTGTGAGAAGTATGGTATCGTGTCTGGTAGACAAACAACGGAAAGCAAAGTAGCTGGCTGCATGAATAATATTTAAAAAAAAAACACGTTTTTATAGGTAACCGAATTAAAAAGTAGAAGATAATTTGTAATTACAAAGAGTTTATATTACAGTAGTAAATGGTCAAACAATCAATAATAATTAATTCATTTTCATAACTCGCCTCTCATAGTTAGTTGCCAACAGAATGATTGTAACATCATATATCAAGCACCACACGAATTTTGCTCTAAAGTTGAATGATTCTGTTAATAACTTTAATTTTATTATAATTTTATTTTAAGGTCATTAATTATGATTGATTGTTCGACCGTCTACTACTGTAATATAAGCTTTGTGATTAAAAATTATTTTCTACTTTTCAGTTCGTATTTTTTAGTTTTTTTAAGCTATTATTTATTTTTTATTTCTTAGTTCGATGTATCAATTAGTTTTTTCAAATTCATATTTGTTATGTGTATTTTAATCAATAAGACTTTATAATTACAAATTCTTTGATCATATACTAAGTGACATATAAATCCGAACACCCAGTTTAAATTGTTTTATTTTAATAAAATTTTGTATAAGTACTTAATGAAGCATAATAAGTAAATGATAAAAATTTCAAAATGATTGCACTGCTTTACCACAACCACCAACTCCTCTCGAAGTGCTTCTAGAGTCTGAGGAGGACGTTGCAAATTGAGCAATCCCCTACCCATCATATCCCACACGTGCTCAATTGGGGATAAGTCGGGAGATCTTGGTGGCCATGGTAACAATGTGACATCATTATGTTGAAAGAAGTCTATTGTGACTCTTGCAACATGTGGTCGGGCATTATCTTGTTGGAAAGTTGGATCTGCCAGGGTGTCAAGATAGGGTAAAAGATGGGGTTCTAGAACTTCGTGGATATAACGCTGCGCGTTCATGTTACCTCTGATGAAGATTAAAGGTGACCTGGAACCATAAGCTATAGCACCCCAAACCATAACTCCAACAGTGTGATGAACATGTCTTTCAACAAAAAACTGTGGGTTCCTCCTTTCACCACGTCGCCTTCTAACCCTGGCACGACCATCGTGCATGCCTAAACAAAATCGAGACTCGTCACTAAAGACAATACTGTTCCATTCCTGATCCCAGAGTGACCGTTGTCTGCACCACTCAAGGCGATTACGTCGGTGTTCTCGAGTTAAAGGGAGGACCTAGTGTGGCCGGTATGAAAACAAGCCAAAACCAACCATCCCAACTGGTAGTGGAGAAACGGTCCCTTAAGGCCAATAACCTTAGGCGGCGATCTTTAGGGTCTGTTGTTCTACGGCGGCGTCCAGTGCCCCTTGCTCTTTGCGCACGGCCTTCTCGAAGCCATGCCTGACAACACCTAACCACAGTGTCTACACTTCTTTGCACTCTAACTGCAATTTCCCGAAAAGAAAGTCCAGCTTCCCGAAGTCCCAATATACGTCCCCTATCAAACTCACTAAGTTGACGAAATCGTACAGGTCTCCGTACTCTAGGCATCGTAACCGATCGTAAAGGATGTCAAGAACCAAAATCCGCCAACGTTGATTCTTTATTGCGGCTGAAATATTCATTTTTAGAGCGTTAGTGAATTTAAAAAAAGCAGTATAAAAACCGGAATGTCCAATTGATAAAATTTTTTCACTTGTTACTTACAGTAAGATAAATACATTCACCAACTTTTATCAAAATATAACCATTTAAACTGGGTGTTCGGATTTATATGTCACTTAGTATATTAAATTCGTTCTTTATCGACTGGAAATTCAATGCTTTGATGTTTACCAAATTATGTTCCGTAAAATAAATAGATTGAAAATCATGTTCTGATCATTTTGTTGTGAATAAGAAACCTTTTGTAAATTACGGTTATCATATAATATATTATATGAATATTATAAGCAGTAGTTCGCGTGTATCGGACTTATTATTAGTACCTACACATGCATAAGGAATCAACAAGATGAGATTGCACTACCTTGGAAAAGTCTATACCTCCGTTGTGTTGTGCCGAGTGCCCAAACCAACAAAGAGTAAGTACGAAAGTGCACGCTTGCGCAGATCGCGCGCTAGCTCTATCTCTCTTACTCCCCTACAGACGATCTATAAAAGATTGTATCAATCATTGCGGTGCTAATAGGGACAATGGAAAACAACAACATTGTCATCGGTTGTTGATACGTGTGCGAAGCTTCAAATTAATCAAACTTCTAGAAATTGGTGAAAATTATGCTTAAAGATTTCGTTGCATACATACATGCATGCAGGCCAAGCTTATACAGGGTGTCCCGAAAAAAGTGAGCAATATTCTACCAGCGGTTTCTAGGAAGAAAAGTTTATATAAACATAGGTCGACAAACGTCCCCTAAGGGCACTACGGTCTTTTAAAGGGGCTCCCCTGAAGATGGTTTTTCCTTAATATTTCCGAAACGTGTTGAGATAAAGACATAAAATTTGGTATTCTAGCCTAGTTTTTTATGCTGGATTTAAAAATATTAACAATTTTAGACAGTTTTGTTAGCAAAACATATTGTTTCATATGACATAAATAAGATCTGAAAAATATCAACAATGCATCTGAAAGACCAAATCTAGATAACTTATTGAGTAGAATGTTATGGTCTAAACTATCAAACGCTTTAGAGAAATCAGTATATATTACATCCGTTTGAAGTTGTTTATCGATTGATTCACAAAAATATTGAGTAAGATGTAGCAAGTTACTAACTGTGGACCTGCCCTTCATGAAACCGTGTTGACTGACGGAGATAAACCTGCTCACTTGAAAATATAGCACAGTTTGTATCACTTTTTCGAATGTTTTAGCGAAATTACTGATAATTGTGATAGCCCGATAGTTTTCTACATAATTCCTCTCACCTTTTTTAAAAACAGGAGTTACCCTAGACAACTTCCAAATAGATGGGAAGTGATTATTTTTCAGAGAGAGATTGAAAATGATCATGAGTGGATATGCTAAAATGGACGCACAATCTCTCACAAAAAATGCAGGTATTTGATCAATCAACAGTTCATTTAAATTCGCATTACATTTCCTATCATGTGACAAAAATAGAATCACAAAAAAATGTTGGGGCTAAAATAACCTGAGTCCGTCTCTGTTACATACGCTTCCAAACAAAACTGTCTAAATTTGTTAATATTTTTAAATCCAGCATAAAAAACTAGGCTAGAATACCAAATTTTATGTCTTTATCTCAACACGTTTAAAAGACCGTAGCGCCGTTAGGGAACGTTTGTCGACCTATGTTTATATAAACTTTTCTTCCTATTTTAAGCTCTAGCAACCGCTGGTAGAATATTGCACACTTTTTTCGGGACACCCTGTATAAAAGCGTGTTAAAAACAGAGTTGGTGGTTTGCAATTCGACAAGCTGAAGGTGTAAAGGTTAACAGAAAATTTTAGTTTTACAGTTTTTTTTTTTGACATACCATCATGAAAATTCGTTAATTAAATTCATTATCCGAAAAACCCAATCAGGGTACTTTCACGTGCACACTAGCATGCTTCTTGGAGAAAGCATCATCATCATAACCTATTTTAGTGCATATCAATAAAGACCTCTAACATTCTACTTTCTTTCCAGCAAACATGCCAGGAGACACCCGAACTTCGACCCCTCCATCCTGCGTCAACGACGGGCCCCTAATAGAAGCAGTTCGGGGACACAGCGAGTCCCCACAGCTCCTACTCAACCGCCGGATCGAGCGTTTTCCATCAACTCCAGCGACGGTACCCCTTCGGAAGTACTATCCGATTCTGCGCCGAGCCCGTGAGGAACAGTTACAGCGTAAATATCCTAGCGTAATCTAGTGTTGAAAGGTACTACCTTGAGTGAAGTGTTGGTTTGAGGTATTGGTGGAAGGTCATTGGGAAATACTTGGTTTTGGTATAGCCTTACGGTGGTGGCGTACATTTATAATTCCGATACTCCGAATAGTCCAAAAATTAAGTTCTTTCTGTCAAAAAATCTAAGATATAACAACCGCCTGATACAGGGTGTTCCAAAGGTACGGACATACCCAAATATCTACGAAACTAAGAGTGCTCAAAAAACTTTAAATACAAATGCTTCAGAAAACCAAACGGCCCATCTAGTGATAACCTTGTACCTGATTTTGACATTCAGCTTGAAGGTCATTTCAAGTGCAAGTTGATTTTTTCAAATGGGAACCCCCATCTTTTATTGCAGAAATAGAAAGCCAATAAAATGTCCTCCCCAACGGTATAAATATTATATGAGCTAAAATTTCGTCTAGAGGTTATTTCAAGGTCAATTGTTGCTCTTTCATGTAAAAAAAATATTAAAGGAGACCTTTCCATGCAAAAATTGCAGTACACCCAACGACACTTCTGATGGTGACCTTCATTTTGACCTGAGCGATAACCTTCAAGGTCAATTCAAAGTCAAAATGATGTTTTTACGTGGAAACCCCTAATAGTCTTACCTCAATATCTTGAAGAATCAGTCCAAGATCTCTTTTTTCACTTGCAAAGACTATCGGTCGCTTAAATGTGATTCAAAAAATAGGTCATTTAAGCTCGACACAGCCACTTGGCTGGCGCTATGATCAAAATTGAGGATTTTCATGTGAAAGAAATCTAGTTAAATCGGTCTTAGAAGCCAAGAGCCAAGAATGAAGGTCACCACCAGATGTGCCATTGGATGTGCTGCAATTGTTGCATCAGACGTTCTTTAATTTTCTTTGTTTTCCGGCTATCCGCTGCTTCACGACATTCCAAGAAAGAGCTACAGTTGACCTTGAAACGACCTCTAGATGTAATCTTAGTCCCTATGATAATGTACCGTTGAAAAGGATATTTATTTGGTTTCCTACTTCTGCAATAAAAATCGTGGTTGCTCTTGAAAAAATCAAATTTCCCATGAAATGACCTTTAAAGTGAACGTCAACGTCAAATCCAAGGTCACCACCAGATGCACCATTTGAGTTGGAGAGGGAAAAAAATCTGGCTCTTGTTGTGGACTTCGTGTGTGATTTTTTCCCTCTCCATCTTTGTTTCGTCAGGTTTCAGCCGTATCCGGATGTACGAGCATGTGTATCTACTTTTGTAGTTGCATATGTGCATTCATTTCGGGCCTGATGAAGCCAACCAGCAGGAATACGTATCGCTCGGGTTACCTATCCTATTTTCTGCTCGAAACAACTTTCTTTCTTTTTGCGGATTTTGCCCATTATTTTCCTATTTTTTGTTATAGCTCTTTCTCCACATGATCATTTTTTCTTTATATATATATATATAGGTATTGTTGTCCATTGGTATAGGTTCCACAATGTAAATCTTGATTTGATTCCTGAAAAATTGTGAAAATACCTCATTTTCGCTGATTTGTTTCAATTTTGACATTTTTGGTCGGAAAAGGTATCGTTAGCTAACCTAGTAGCCCACTATAATATATTGTATTGTATATTATACGTATACATATGTATATATATACGTATATACATACAAACATAGTTTTTTACGTAGTTCTTACTTTATTTGTTAAAATAATGATTTCTTGTCCGAAAAGTTGGGAAAATCGGAAAAACCACATTTTCAACGATTACTCCAATTTGTTGCATTTTTGGATTGTGATGTCATAACTTGACCAACTCAGAAACTCAATGCGCATAAATATCTCTGTGCATTCTGTCACGATTCAGTGTCACAATTGTAATTTTTTTACCAGAAAGTTGTGAATATTTTCTTTAGTTTTCAACGTAAACCTAAGTCAGGAAAAAATACATGGCTGATACAATAATCCACAGTATGAATGCATTCTCTATGTTGGTTGTCAAAATCATTGTTTCTTGCCCCTAAAATAGCCAAAATGTGGAAAACCGCATTTTCACCGGTTTAGATCGATTTTTGACATTTTCACCTAGAGTAGGATATTTTAACTTGTCTGACAAAAAGGACCTCAATGTGCATAAGTCGGTTTTCGAATAAGCTAGCTCCTACCGTAAAATGTCAAAAATGGAGAAAACCGATAAAATGCGGTTTTCCGATCCTTGGTGATTTTTCGGACAAAGAACTACTGCTTTAGCAACGGAACTGAAAATAATTTGGAAATTTACGTGTATATAATGAGTTACTGTGTTAGCCAAGTGTTCACTTTCTGACCAAAACCGTCAAAAATCAAGAAAATCAGTGAAAACGCGGTTTTTCCTATTTTCTCAAATTTGAACTATGGAACCTGAAAGAATAGACAATACTTACTTGAATCGAGTATTCAAGCTCGACAACTTAAAATATCCTATGTATAAAATGTAAAAAGTTGGAGAATATCGATGAAAATGGGTTTTTTTCAATGTTTTGCTATTTTTCGGGAAAAATCATGATTTTGTCAATGGATGTAAAAAGATCGCAAGATGTACAATTTTGAATTTGTGAAATTTTTGTTGCCTAGCTAAGCATTCGAAAAAGGATTTCGATTAATTTTTTCTCGAACCTATCCGTTCCACTTATATATAAAAAATTACAGTTATTAAGGATATAACAATGTAGTATCGGTAATGTTTCCAAAATTTTTGAGAAAATCGCGCTCAGAAAAAATTGTTTTCGAAAAAAAGGTTAGGGACTCCGTGGGGCGATTCTCTGGTTTAAGGCCGTACCGTCAGTTCCTACAATTGTAGGACGTCTTTATGGCCTCCTTGATTTTCATAGTACCTTCTCTCTCCTTCAGAAGGGATGTGGTATTTCTAGATTTCTACTGCTGTGTGTGAAGAAAATCAAGTTGCAACAGCCTGAAATTTCTTTCAATTCAAAAGGAAAATATAACCTCAAAATAGAACGCTGACATGAAACAGTACAAATCTAAAAGTACCCCCTTTCTGAAGTTCAGGAAAAACTATGAAAATCAATTGGAGGAACATCTGGGCTCTTAAAATGCGAGATATCCCATAACGTCATATCTCCAATTCAACAGTGTCATTGAGCTGAGGGTTGAATACTTGATAGGCCATCCCCAAACAGACCTGCTGCATGCATACCGCGGAGGACGTGGTATGGTTGGGTAAATTATAAAGAAACATTTACATAGGTAACTGAATTCCAGGTACATTTGCAGAGGGCATCAAAGGGGTTGTGCACACCTTGCCAACTGTAATGGCACTTTGCGAACGGGATTAATTCAGTTCTAGGTACATACAAGGGTCTGCTTCAGAGGTTAATAACCTATTTCAAAGCATACGTGGCGCTCAGGAAATGAAGGTCTGCATGACTTTATTTTTATTTTTATCTACTAAAATTACGGGTCACCATATTACAAGATTAAATAGCAAGGCATGACAAGGCATTATTATAAAAATTACAACTTAGAAGTAAGTAGTAAAGACGTCAATGTCAGACTGAGCCAAATTGATAAGACTTAGTGCTCTATCAAGTGGAGAGTGCTGACTATAATTTGTAGGATGGAACCTCTCTGGGATACATAAGATTTATCAATGTTAAGAAAGTTTCGCAAAAATTGAGCCCCAATAAAATCTTGAAAGCGAAACAACCATCAAAGACCAAGCGTCTGTGCTCCAATGTTCTAACATGTCAGCTCTATGATATTCAGTTATGTTTAACTTCATCTTTCTGCTTCAAGTCGCATAAATGGGGAAGACCATACCACTGTGGCATATTCTAGATTTGATCTTACCAGGGGGCAGTATAAAATTCGGAAGGTGTTTACTGAAAGACACTTACAATTTCTCCAAACAAAGCCCAGCATCTGCATTCCCTTTATGTTAACTTTGAGAACATGGTCTGAAAAGCATTCTAAGATCTCTAGTAGTAGCCTTATGAGAGTGCATCATTATTTAATATATAGCCAATCCTACGTTTGAAGAAACTTATGAAAAATTAGAGTTCAGTTATGAGCTGCGACCACTACCAAAGCGCATCAAGGTCCCGCTGAAGGCTCACCATGTTTTTTTAGAATGTCAGTAAGCTTTGTAGGTATCTCTCTCGTTACTCCTATTACCACTGGGATCACGACTACTTCATCCATTTTCCAGATTTCCTTGATTTGCTGTGAATGTTTTGTTTATATTGACTGGCAACGGTACGACGCGATGATGTCTACTCGTATTATCATGGTCTTTTTACGATCTGTAAACGTTAAGACGATGTTTGGAATATTATTCTGTATCCGTTTCTATCTTCCTATTCCATTAGACCCTGCAGCTCCGGTTCTCTCTCACTGGACTTGGTAAGTATGAGTATGAGCTCTTTTTGATTTGTGTCTACATAGACTTTAAGCAGCTCCAGATATAAAAGCGTTGCTCCACTGTTAAGCCTATCGAGGTATTGTTTGGCAGGTAATTGTGTACACGCTGCCTCTTCCTTTTCACCTCACATACCACATTTGGCTTCAATACGCTTCCGATACGATGTTGTTGGTATCACTTGCGAGAGAGCCCTCATCCTCTACGAATAAATATCCAAGTTTTAGCCAGGTTTGAGACCGTTCTGCGTCTAGGAACTCTTCTTCGATAAATGCCCTATGTTGCCCGTATAATGGTTTGCTTTTCCATCTCTTGTCGTTGTATGGCATCCTGTGTCTAGCCGGTCTGTTTGCTAAGCGAAGAGGCATTGCTCCAGAGTCCATACGGACTATAACTGCATGAATCTCACTGATCACAGTTTTTTAGTCTCTGAGGTTAGCTACCTGTTTATACTCCCTGTCAATGGCACTTGGTATTCATCTTCCTCCTTGGCTTCTAGGAATATGAATCGCTCTATTGAGCTTAGAGAATGGTGCGTGCGGTGTTTGCGGAATTCCTCTTTGAGCTCAAAGTTTGTCCATTTAATAATTCCAAATG